TGATCATAATATATATAGGGCCTTTGTAATCATAATTGCCTTATGGTTATGCAACTTTTGAGTTCACTATATAGTATAAAACAAACTCGCTATCCGCCGTCTGTCTGTAACTATGTAAGCTTAGTTCCTTAAAACTACGCAACGGATTATGATGCGTTTTTTTAATAGATAGAGTGATTCTTAAGGAACTTTTATATGTATAATACATGCATATTGCACCAGTGCGAAGCCGGGGCGCGTCGCTAGTAAATCATAAATTCCACACTCTGTATTCCATGTAGTTTTCCTTTTCTTTAAGTTTTTCGTTAAAACAATTTTTCCACTTGAGTGCAAACGTTTCAGTGAACAAACAACAAACTGAAAGTTTTAGATATTGAACAGGTTTTTGAGTTCAGACAGGCTAACATCTGTTTTGGATAGTTTTTTTTTCATGAACTAAATGGATTTGAGAAATACTTTATCATTTCTGCAGCAGAGTTTCTCGTGTTAAAATAAATAGTAGTAGGCAAGATGTACGAAAACAGAATATTTAGTGCGTCTCAACATTCAACGCAGAAGCTACTTTAGTTTAATATACCTTAAAAGAACTTTAAAAGGTACATTTTGAAATAAAATTTTCTCGAAGAACGTTTTTTTATACAACGCCGCCCGGTGGCAAAAAAACACACGGCCCACCTGATGGTAAGCGGTTACCGTGGCCTATGTACGCCTGCAACACTTTGGGCATTACATGCGTCTTGCCGACCCTTAAGAAACCTATTCACTCCCCTCTTGAAGAACCCCATGTTGTAGCCCATTGGGAAAACCACAGCTGGGAGTTCATTCCACAATTGGATGGTTATTTCTGTGTGTCCAGTCTTAAATTCACGGTCTTTCGTTTTGCCTTGTTCAAACCTGTAACCTGGTACTGGAAAATGATAAGACCTAAAATTGTATACTTAATCAAAAATAGGAAAATTGTGACTGATTTTGAAGCAACCTAGAATACTAGTCAGTAAGTAGGCTTCTTATAAATATTTTACCCACAATTTTAATATTAAACGCAAGGCTAGCTGGTCTGGCTACCGCAATAACTCTTAATGCACCTCTAAGATGTTAGCAGACTCAACTTAATACTTGAACTACATTTTAATATCATAAAGTATGGAATTTCGAAACTCGTAGAAAAGTGAATAAGGTTTTAAAATATTCTTAAAATAAGTTTATATCTTTGTACTGTGTAGTACAAAGTTATACTGTGTAGTATTCATAGTGAAATGATCATTTATTTTCATATCAGTTGTAACCTTTTTCTTTTGATGACGGGGAAACCTTCAAAAGGCGCCTAGCCTCACTAAAACTACCCCAGTGGCCACCCTCAGCACCCGTAAGAAGCACCAGGTCCTCTGAAGAGACCTCCTCCAGAGCCCCCACGGTTCAATGCCTGTTACACATATTCCTAGGGAGGCCTGCGTGTCTCTTGATCATCAGTTACCTACCACCTATGTTCTACCCGCAGCTTCACCCACGTTCTCGTGGGATAAAAAGTAGCCTATGTGATATTCCAGGCTATAATTCGTCCCTGTGCTAAATTTCATCCCGATCCTTTCAATCATTTTCACGTGATTCAATAACAAACATCTACACGAACTCACTTACTTTCACATTTATAATATTAGTAGGATTAGTAAGATTAAGCAGTGATTCATATGAGAGTGAAAACGCAGTTAAACATAATTCATCTATGAGACATTCGTTCTATGAAATACAGTCTATATATCGTTATTAGTCTACATACTTTGAACCCCGTATAATGCGAAAACTCTGTTACACCAAATACATTAAAGTAAAGATTGATGTAGATAATACATTTACGTGATACAAAGCATGCAATAGCTGTTAATTACGATTCTGCAATTAGTGTACCAAGTTTAAAGCAACACGAATGTCGCTTTACAAAATTCTAATAATATTCTTGCTAGTTAATAAATGTGAAGGGACCGTGAATCCGTACGGACCAACTGTTGTTAAAGACTACGTTAATTGCATCAGTACTATAATTGAGAATGAATTTAATGAACCCGGGCTCTTGATATTCGCGAATACAAACAATGTTAGTACTTCAGTGTCTAATATAAGAACTGTTTTGTTAAAAAGGCTACATGAGACAATAAATTTTAGCGTGGAAATTATGAGTCCTGGGAAAGAAGTGGAGATCTGTGATCAAGACAATAATAACTTTGGAGTTCTACACGTTGATACTTTCGTAGCCATACCATCGGCCAATTATTTTATCATCATAATAGACAGTTTTACAGATTTTTCATACTTAGCCAGCAAACTTATAAGATCACGTTCTTGGAATCCATTTGCAAAGTTTATCATTTTGCTTTTCAACTATGTTCGGAACGATAAAATTAATATCGAATATGTTGAGAAAGTACTCAGCTGTCTCTTCAAATATAATGCAATAAATATTGTTATCGCTGTACCTCAAGCAAGAAATTTTCGTAATGCTATTATTTATAGTTGGAGACCCTACGATCCACCAAAGTACTGCGGTTACTTTAATGAAACAGCTAAAGATAGACTAGTCGCAATAAACACATGTGAACGAGGGAGGTTGAAACATAATAATATTGTTTTTGATGACAAGATTCCACATGACATGAAAGGCTGTGTTATGGAAATACTAGCATTGCAGAGACAACCGTTCATAAGTGAAGCTGAACAGGATACAAGCATTGAAAAGATTATGATAGATAGAATGCTGCAGCGGTTCAAAATGAAAGCTCATTATCATTTCTTAGAAGGATTTCGAGGGGAAAGGGTAAATGTTGGAGAATGGAATGGAGCTCTAAATAAATTATCATCGAAGGCTGGACATTTGCTTCTAGGTGGAATATTTCCAGATTTTGACGTACATGAAGATTTTGAAACTACTTCGACGTATTTAGCAGATGTTTATACTTGGGTTGTTCCTAGAGCTCCTAAATCAGCACCGTGGGTGGCTTTAGTATACGTATTTAAGAGACTGGTATGGCATTCTGTTATAGTTTGTTTTTTTCTGTGTGGAATAACATGGACAGTCATTGGTCATCTTAGTGGCGATTCTCAATACAACAAATCATTTCTTCATTGCTTTGTTAATACTTGGATAACAACTATGGGATTCGTTGCATATTTACATCCAAAAAAAGACAGTCTACGTGTTTATTTCTTGTTTCTCAATATGTATTGTACATTATTCTCAGCAGCATATCAAACGAAACTATTTGATGTTTTAACAAGTCCTTCTTACGATCATCAAATGAACACTGTTCAAGAGTTAGTAGACAGTGGCATAAAATTTGGTGGTTATGAAGAGTTGCACGATTTGTTTTATAATTCAACTGACCCTTTTGATAACTTGATTGGTGAGAAATGGGTTGACATTGATAATATTACTGACGCTTTGATAGATGTCGCTGTTCATAGGAATTTCTCATTGTTGTGTAGTAAACTCGAGTTGATACATGTATCTGCAGTTACACCTGAATTGAGTGACACCGCTGGAAATTATAATTATCATACTTTTCCTGATGTCGTTTTCAGTGTACCTATAGAAACAATAGCGTTGAGGGGATTCCCTTTTATGTTAAAGTTTTCAACTACCATAACAATATTTAAGCAGAGTGGCTTAAACGAAGGTTTGAGGCACAGGTTTAAGGAATTTACTGAAAGAAGAAGAGCTCGCCAACTGCGAGATTTATTGAAGAAAAAATCCGATGTTAGTCCACTGTCTGCGAAACATCTTCAGGGCGGATTCTTTGCTTTATTTTTAGGGTATGTTAGCGGTATTTTCGCTCTTATTGTCGAAGTCTTAGTAAATACTGGATCTTTCAAGAAACACTTTGCTCAATGTAAACGAAAATTGAACTTTATGAAATAGACACAAATTACGTAATAGTCTAAATAAAAATACGATATACAACAAAACATTTATTTATACTGATCGTCTGTTCCTTATAACGATAAGCTTAAATGTACTGTACATTTAATATACGGATCTTAATTTTAATAATTAAAATTACAGTAATTGTAATATCCTAAAGACTAGTCTATGTAAAAATCTAAAATAACTTAAAAATATTATTGCAAACCATTAAAGATATTATAATCTCCGTATTGTTTTATTTAAACAAAACGCTACCAAAATATATAAATCATTATACGATATAATACATTAAAATTTTATAGTATTAAGAAATTTATGAATGATTGTTTAATTTCTTGTTCAAAAATTTTGATCATTATAATTTTAATGTGTATTTGAAACAAGTGTTCCTTTTTTATTCCAAAAACTATTTACATAATTATCATTACAAAGGACTGAATGTATAAATTAATTTTATTTTAAAATCTATATAATGCACAATATGTTACAATCTAATGAACAATGTTATTTTTGAGTACCACCTTTGAGTTTATACCATGCTTATAATTATGTACACTGGGGGACAGATTCGCTTGATCAATTTCAATTTTTATTGCCATGCTCTATAAATGTCTCAACTAAAGGAACAATGTCGCAGCTTAGTGACGCAACCCGTGTAATTTCTTAGTCAGTGGTGCTTTTCATGTTGTACGGCTATGTGCACCAGCGCTAGTCCATTCTTCATTCGTCAATTCAAGGTCATGGTGTGGGGTTAGAAAGCGGATCTCATCAGGTGCAAGCAAATATTAACTTAGTGGTGGTCAGGTGGATGTGCCCCCCATTGTACATACATTTCACTTAGAAGAGACGACAAAAATACGAAGGGTTTCCTAACTACTGTCATTTTTAATTGGGCATCTATCAAGAGTTGATCATTATTGCGCTTAAAAACGTAACAGCAGCTTAGCTGGCCATCAAATAAAAGGTATTAGAACAAGCTTGCTGAATTTACATAATATTTCGATTCATTCATAGTTCATTGAGTAATTACATTTCCTCCATAAAATTGTCACATAAAAGTACTATGTCCAAAATACCCAGACAATCATAGTTTCTCCCCATCTAAATGTTGAAGATTATAATAAGAATGATCCGGAAACCTTTCCAGCTGTATATAATCCATATCCTTATTAATTAGAGGTTCTAATCTATTAACGATGTCTGCGAAATCTGGCCTGTCTTTAGGTTCTGCTTCCCAACAGTAGTACATTATGTTGTAAAGTTCCCGATGGCAGTGCTCCGGCTTCTCGAGACGATAACCTTCAATGACCTGGGAAAAGAAGAGAATTAATTGAATAATAGATTGATATAAAGTGTCCTGTCTCGTCTGGACATTGGCCTTCGTCTTTTTAGTAGTGTACTGGAATATTTAAGCCAGAGAGCTTAATTGTTTGACCTTGGACATTTAGAGTTGTATTTCAGAAATGGGTGGTTTCTATCCGGATATTCATAGCAATGTAGGTTAACAATATTAATTGTGTATAATTTAATTCTTTGCCAGAATCTGTATTTCCTGTAGGGTATAACCCGGGTGTCTCAAGGCCCGAATGAATAGGTTGCTTATGGGCAGACGTACTCCATCGTAGGCCGCATCACCGCTTGACACCAGGCGAGATGGATGCTAAAAGTCGGCCCATCAAATATATATAAAAAAATCGGTGACATCGTATTGTGTTTAAGTTCAGTAGCGTGCCGTTGGAGAGCTTATATGCTAAAGTATACAAAAACAGTCTGATGATGATAGTGATGCAGATAAATTGGATATTTTTAAAGACACTGTAATACTGTCCTCTAATCTACTACATTATAACATCCTTCATTTCCAAAATTATCATTAAGACAGTTTGTACAGAGACAAATAATGGATTTTCTCCTTCTATCAGCTGTATTCCAAGGCATTACCGAAACGAACAGCTCGGAGTGCAAGTTTAAATTGCTAATGGGACTAATGCCACTAGCAAACCTACCCTTTGCTAAAGTCATTTGTTTTACTAGAAACCATCGAATGTTCCATTATTTCCACATTTGGAATTTAGATAACAATTGTATGGTTTAAGTGATTTGAAGTACAAAAGTTGTGGGCGTCTAGTTAGATCTGGATGGAATATTTTTTTATGTGATAAGCTGGTAAACGAGCCGACGGATCGCCTTATGGTAAGCAATGCCGCCAATGAACGCCCGAAACACTATAGTTTTGAGAATTGGGAATTCGAGGATTGTGGTAGAAATTGGAAAATGGCTACAAATAAATATAATACAGTAGACTGTCCCACTCGTAAGTGATCGTAAGTGCGACTACTGAGTAAATAGATTTTAAATACGATTGTTAGGTGACTGCATGGTTGGCGCGGTGGCTGGGCAACTGGCTGCCGTGTAACATGTCGTGGTTTTGATTCCCGCACGGAATGTATGTTGTTTCGGGTCTGGATGTCACATGTATGTGAACTTGTATGTTTGTAAACACATTCATAACACAGGAGACAATCCTAGTGTAGGGCAATGTTTTTTTGAACAATAAAAGTCTGACAAGTTTATAATAACGAAAAATTTTTATCATCATCATCATCAACTATGTATTGTGGCTGCAAGCCTTTAAGCGGCCAATGCTGACAAAATGCCTCTTCTCACACGGAGAAGGTTTGAGCATTAATCACTACGCTTACTCAATGCGGGTTCATTATTGGTTCGTTAATCAGTGGTGTGTAAGTAATCAAAGAAAGTACATACAGTATAACTCGGAAAAATCAAATTGATTCTCCCGTTGATACGATTTGAACCCGCAATCTCATGCATGCGAATCGGGCATCTTAAACCTCCGGTTCACCATAACGACGATAAAAATTTCATCGTCTATTGTTTGAATTACATAGCGTAGTTTGCCCCCTTTCATACATATTACACAACATGTAGATCAGATAATATAATACACAGAACATGTAAAGTTAAATGTTCTGTGATATAATATGTGCACCTCGACTTATCCCACGATAAAAGAAACTTAAGTAGGCAAATATGGAGCACTATTAAATGAATATCGACTTAAGTTTGGTGAATAAACGCCAGTAGCATCTATGACCCATTTTGAAGTACATACCTACTACAAGTGAAACGAGATAACATAACTTGATCCAGCTCACAGGCAAACTTAAGATTAAGATGTCACAAGTAAAATATCAGGAAAAAGTTTGAATTTATGACTTCAACTTTGTAAATCCGTCAAGTCAAGTCGAGTCAAGTCACTCAGAAAGTGAACTAAGTAAGCGAGCTGGATCCAAAGTATTGTTTGAACAAGGATACCATCGTTCATCAGTAATAGTGAAACATTTTCATACTATGCTCACTGCTCATCTGTACAATCTATATTCTATGATGTATTATTATTTCACACATGTTTTTGCAAATAAATAATCTTAACTTTGTCATATTACTTCTATTGTGACACATACTGTATTCATTATTATGTTTTTCAGCTTACTCACGAAACTAATCCAGTTCCTTTCCGTAACAGAGAATAATTAAGGATATCTTTTTGTATGGTATAAGTCGATAAACGAGCAGACGGATCACCTAATAGTAAGCACTCAGCGCCGCCCATGGCCACCCTTAACACCAGAGGTGTCATAAGTGCGTTACCGGCCTTTTGGGGATTAGGAATTTCAGGATTGTTGGGAATTCGGAGATTGGGGGTAATTGAGCCTCCAGTAACCTCACTCACACGACGAAACACAACGCAAGTGTTGTTTCACGTTGGTTTTCTGTGAGGTCGTGGTATCACTCCGCAGCTCCGGTCGAGCCAGCTCATTACTGTCGAAGATTGGCTCTCCCACACTTAAGATCTTCGTTTAAACCATTGTGTGTCTAACGCGAGACACAATGGTTTTTCTATCGTGTCTTATATACGGGCATTCAAGTGGTTAAATATGAATACTATGCATTACTCGTATGATAAGTAGGTGTAATATGTGTATATCTGTTGAGCAAGAAGTATTAAGTTCTGTTTTAGTTGGACAAAAGGTTCTCGTTATGGCAACTAAAATTACTTACAAGAGTCAGGTTCAGGTCGTTCTCGTATGATTATGACAACTTCTGACTCTTGTCAGTAGTTGAGTATGACAACTTCTGACTCTTGTCAGTAGTTGTCATAAGGAGAACCTTTGAACCAAAAGTTTATTGGGTTTTTTAATTCTAAATATTAACACGCAGCACAGCACTATGTATGCATAATATGGGTCTGAAATTACTAATTATTAAATACAGCTCATAGATAAAAATGTTTTTTCATTTAATATGAAAAAAATAAAATTTTGGAAAGGTATGCACCTTTCCAAAATTTTATTTTTTTATTTAACTTTAAGAAAATTCGTCACTGATAAGTCATATTTATTCCCTTAGCAACAAGGAAGATTTTTGCTCGATCATCGTTCTGTGAAAAGACTAATGATTTATATTGAACGGTGACCATCCGTGATAAATGATGGGAGATAAATGTCCAAGTGATTTATAGATCTGTTTATACGTAATTATATGTATGTAACTACATTCTCTATAATTATATCACACTGTTAATTTATCAGTTGGTAAAAATAAATTGTATAGGAGAATTTTGCAAATATTAGTGTGATTGGTTTTTTACTAAATTTAACCTAACAAATAATAAAAAAACTAATCAATCAATGACATACAAGAGCATTTATTGTGACATAAAAACCAGGTTACAAAAGCAAATAATTGAAAATTAGATGTCCATTAGCCATTGTCCAAACTACTTCTTCTTTCCAGACATACTGAATCCATTTGTCAAAAACCCTTTGAGGAAGGTATCCACATCAACAGGAGCTTCACACATACACATACATTTGCTGTATTTGTCTGCTTTATTCTGTTGTCCCCAAACTGTGATCTTCTCGTGGCACTCACGACCTGGTCCAGGTATGTACTTACTACAACATTCTCCACAATCCTGACCGACGTGGGAGCACCGTATGTATGCTTCCTTCATCGTCCTACTCGCAGATGACATTGCGACTAGCGCCAAAAATGCCGAGATGAATAGAAAACGCATCTTGGGAGCTCTCAACCAGCTGATTACTACGACTCGTACTGAATATGCTTAGTGAATGGTGTCTATAGAAAATGTACCTCCTTTTATACTGAAGTCGTACTTCGATTGGGTATGATTCAGTTATTGTCTAAATTAATAAAACGGCCTACTGTGGGAAGAAGGGAAAACCGAGGTGTAAATTAAATATGTTAGGGCTAGTCTATACCAGAGTGTGAAGCTATGTCACGCATGTTACTAATATTAAAAGTTAAAATTAAAAAGTGGAAAAAAATAAAAGTTTAATAGTGTATATTTTTGTGGCTACCTTTTCATTACTACGCAGTTTAAAAATTATTAGACATAACATCACGCCTTTTATCCCCGAATGGGTAGGCAGAGGTGCACATTACGGCACTTAATGCCACTGTACAATGTAACACCCACTTTTCACTATTTATGTTATGAGTCCCATGTAATAGGGAGTGAAAATAAAAATTATTAGATAGCGACAAATTCATAATAACCAAACAACATTACAAATCAAAGGGCTTTAAATTTTAAACCAAAAATAAATAAGAAAAAAACATCACAACAATTGGTATTAAAACATTTATTGCACATTAAAATTTAGGAACAATAAATGAAAACTGTAGATATTAATTACCCACACTACTTCTTCTTTCCAGAGAAACTGAATCCATTTGTCATGAACCCGTTGAGGAATTGATTGATGTCGGACGGGGCGTCACACATGCACCTGCACTTGGCGTATCTGTCCGCCTTGGTCTGTTGTCCCCAAACTGTGACCTTCTCGTAGCACTCACGACCAGGTCCAGGACTGTACAGCCTGCAGCATTCTCCACAATCTTGACCTTGGTACGAGCACCGTATGGACGCCTCCTTCACAGTATTGCCGGCACACAACGCCGCCATGGCAAACAATGCGACAACGACGAGAAAACGCATCTTGTTGGTTGGTTTGTTACAACTTGTGAACGACTGCTACAGTTTAGAGAATGATTGGATTGGTAGAACATTACCTCTTTTATACTGAGTTCACATCTTCAATGTGACCTCTTAGCCTTGCTTTTAATGAGTTATCACACGTTTGTGTCGAATATTATTCCTTCGGGCGAGTCCTACATCTTTTCAGCAATTCAGAACTAACAACGTCATCTTATCATCGGGCTAACCATTTTAATTAAATGTTATTGAAATTGAGATTGGAAAATTACCTCGTTGGCCGAGTAGTCGCAAGTGTGACTGCCGGGCAAAGGGTCTCGGTTTCGATTCACGGGTCGGGCAAAGTATTACTGGGTTTTTAAAAAAACTCCCAGTAGTAGCATGAAATCCGAAAATGTGCCCGTATATAGCAGTAGGCTCACCCCCTATTACATGGGACTCATAACATAAATAGTGAAAAATGGGTGTTACATTGTACAGTGGCATTAAGTGCCGTAATGTGGACCTCTTTGTTGCCTTTCCCTTCGGGGATAAAAAGCATGAAGTCATGTTATGAAGAAATTGGTAACTGATTAATTGATTAAACTAGACTCTATATTTGTCAAAAACTTGTTTAGTTTTAGCCATTACAACAATACCGCATTTTAAACGTATTTTAAAAAAATGAAGGCGGTTCTCAGTGTAACCTGTATGTACATGTCGCGGAGAACCTAACGGGTAACCAGGGCTCCGGCTCGACGTGCAGGAGAAGGAACGGGGTGGTTTTTAGTTAATAAGAGTCTGACACTCCCTCCCGCCTCACCCAGGCGGGAGCAGTCATTCGATGATTTTCCCCCTTTAAAAACAAAAAACCTGTATGTACATATGTATGTTTGAGCGCAATTATCTCATATTCGATTTTGATGCGCTTTTCGAGAAAAGTTTTGTATACTTTGGAGAAGGTTTCAATATACATCTAGGTATTAATTAACCGACTTCAAAAAAATAGGGCGTTGAATTTTGTTTTTTGAAACGTATTTTATAAAATAATTATATTTTTAAAATGGGTGCACATTACATTACACCCTTTATAAATGGCTTGCAATAAAATAAAGTTACTTAAAAGTATGTTGTTGGAGTATGAACTTGGCTTTATTCACTAATTCTGTCGCCTGTCCCATAGTTGGCGTACTTTCCGTGTTTTCATCTAGGTATGGGATTTCCCGAACAAAATAGGATCGTCAATTGATTTATTAGATTCAGCTAGGTACTAAGATTGAACGAGTCGGGTGGTTTATTATCGTATGATACATTACATAATAGGCCAGTTACCAATTTAGTCAACATTATGAATTTCGTTGGTACCTACGAGGTACGGTATTATGACGTCATAATGTCAAATAGCATGCTTATTTCGTGGATAACTCAATTAATGTAATTAAATCAAGACTATTTTTAAATGTAGGTAATTACTTTATTGGGAAGTTGAAAAAAATATATTTGACTGAGGAAATTATCCTATTACAAATTACATGTGTATGTATTAACGTACATAGAGATCAGTCATGTTATAAATAAAAAAAATTGTAATAATTTAAAATAAATATAATATTTAATTATAACAGAAAACAAAATATTTTTTAAGATGTGAACTCGCACAGGAAAAGAACCATATTAATTTATTTATTATAAATACAAAAATCGTTTTATTTATCTTTCTCCTGTGTCGTAACAAGATAGCGATAGTTTTAGAGATACTAATATTATATGCGGACAAAATCGCGGGTAAAAAACTAGCGAATAAATATAATTAGTTTATTATCCATCTTTAAAGACAGATATTATTTCTTCGGACCCGTCCTTCTAATTAGCTAACAATAACACGTTATCTGATGTGTTTAGGCTCGGGCAAGCCCTTATAATTAAAATAGCTTTTCACCCGTGACATCGGCGTCGCTCATGGAAACCCGCAACACCAAAGGTGTTGCCAGTGCATTGCCGGCCTTTTGGGGTTAGGAATTTGAGGATTCGGTGATTGAGGAGATTGGAGAGGGACCCACCCCCCTCTCCAATCTTTGGAGAAATTGGGCCTCTGGTAACCTCACTCAGACGACGATTCACAGCGCATGTATTGCTTCCCGTCGGTTTTCTGTAAGGCCATAATCACTTAGGTCGAGCCAGACCATTCGTGCCGAAGCATGGCTCTCTCACACGTAAGGTCTCCAGCCTCGAGTATTACAATCATTATTTAATAATACTTGCATTCTCTTCCTAACTCTTTTAGAAAATAAAAATCGTGATATTATTTGTTATTGTCTAACATCTATAACCAAAACATTCACTTTTAGTTTTCAGCTAAATTTTAATCAGTTTACCATCCTATTTTGTTCAAGAAAGTCCATAGTTCAAAACATGGAAAGTACGCCAACAGTGGGACAGCCGACAGAAGTAGTGACGAAGTCCATACTCAAACAACATACTTTTGAGTATCTTTATTTTCTTTCAAGCTATTTGTAAAGGTTGTAATATAATGTGTAATGCGCACCCATTTTAATAAAATGCGGTATTTAATAGATTAACCTAAACAAACTTACCAACGAGACATACATTGAGTCTCGTTTTCTCAATAAATCAGTTTCCAATTTCAATAACATTTAATAAAAAATGGTTATTTTGATTACCCTGATGATAAGATGACGTTGTTATTTCTTAGTTGCTGAAATGATGTAGGACTCGCCCGAAGGAATAATATTCAACACAAACGTGTGATAACTCATTAAAAGCAAGGCTAAGAGGTCACATTGAAGATATGAATTCAGTATAAAAGAGGTAATGTTTCACCAATCCAATCATTCGCTAAACTTCAGCAGTCGTTCACAAGTTATAACAAACCAACCAACAAGATGCGTTTTCTCGTCGTTGTTGCATTGTTTGCCATGGCGGCGTTGTGTGCCGGCAATACTGTGAAGGAGGCGTCCATACGGTGCTCGTACCAAGGTCAAGATTGTGGAGAATGCTGCAGGCTGTACAGTCCTGGACCTGGTCGTGAGTGCTACGAGAAGGTCACAGTTTGGGGACAACAGACCAAGGCGGACAGATACGCCAAGTGCAGGTGCATGTGTGACGCCCCGTCCGACATAAATCAATTCCTCAACGGGTTCATGACAAATGGATTCAGTTTCTCTGGAAAGAAGAAGTAGTGTGGGTAATTAATATCTGCAGTTTTCATTTAATGTTCCTAGATTTTAATGTGCAATAAATGTTTTAATACTATTGATATGTCATTTTTATTTATCGTCAGTTTTATGTCCTTTGAATTCATATTTGCCTGTTTAATATGAATTAATGTTATAATAATTATTAAACTATTTAAAGGTTTAAACTATTTTTGTTGCAATTACTGTCTACTATTAAAATATGACTAGCTGTTTTATTTGCTTTATGTTAGTAACCGAAATATAAAACTTGGTTAATTTTAATTTCAAATTGATGGACTTTCATAAAAACTAACATCCCCTATTCGTTCAAAAATATAAAAGAAATGTAATCTCTTAGTGGGTGACTACATAAGAAAGTGTAATGCAGTCCGAATTCATGTTTGTTCGTAGCATTGATATTGCGCTCGGCAATGATGAATCAATCAGTCATTTAGGATACGTTTTATTTTAAGTATAGATATAGATGTTTATCTATGTAAAAGAATTGGCAAACATTAGGTAAACACTTTTTATTTGTTGGCTGTATAGTGAAAGTAAAATAACATCACGCCTTTTTATCCACGAAGGGATAGACAGAGGTGTACGTTACAGCACGTAAAACACTGTATAATGTAACATCCACTTTTAACTATTTCTGTTATAAGTCCCATGTAATAGGGGGGTAACGCTATTGCCATATACCAGACACAATTCACAAACAAAAGCGGTAAAACCCTACATCATTTTTAAAATACGAATGAGTAGATGATTACTGAACTTACCGCATACCTAGATAAATTTCCGAACGACGGGACCAACAGTAACCACATTATAAACAACTTATAGCATAATTAGTACGTAGTAAGTATAAAACCACTTTATAACCAAAGATACACCAGCGCCTGTAGCCAAACGCCACTTTAGCGCTGATCTACAGAGAGAGTAGAGAACTAAAATAATGTATGGAGATGACACTGACAACTGTCTTTTACGTCAATTCCTTAGAATTTAGTTTTCTATTTTACAAGGAGACAAGCGCTAAATGGCATTTGGCTACAGCTGCAGGGAACAAATATCACATGTTCCGGCGACATGTCAAACGACGGACACCTTTTTTTTTAACGGGGGAATATCATCGAATGACTGCTCCCGCCTGGGTGAGGCGGGAGGGGGTGTCAGACTCTTACTGACTAAAAACCGCCCCGTTCCTTCTCCTGCACGTCGAGCCGGAGCTTCGGTAACCCGTTAGGTTCTCCGCGACTCCGAATCGGCATCGGCCCTGTTGGGTCCCATCTGTGGTGGTCTGATGGCTCTTTGAGGCGCGCGCGGAACGCGCAAAAATATAAACAATAGAAGATCTTATTCCTTAGCGCCTAAGGTTGCAACTTACCTTTTTCATGACGTCGTTAGCTGATAGTCCAGGGTACGGTGTTGAGCCGAGGGTCACAATCTCCCACAGCAAGATGCCAAAACTCCAAATATCGGACTTGACACTAAATATATTGTCGTATAAAGATTCAGGCGCCATCCATCTGGAAATAAATGAGAAAAACATTTTATTTACTAGTTTCATCATCGATTTATTTCAGTGATTTTTTGGGTCAATGTTAGTTCTTGAGTGGGATACCTAGGCAAAGTAATATTGGAATTTATATAAAAATAGCTTCTGCCCGCGACTTCGTACGCCCAATCAAGCCGTTCTCAAATTATAGTATGGCGTGACAACGGGGTTTCTCGGGTTTCATTTTTATATATATAGATGATTATAAATTATAGGAATTTCTAACCTCATTGGTTGAGTGATAGCAAGTGATACCGTCTAGTGATGGGTCTCGGATTCGATTTCTGTATCAGGAAAAGTATTTACGCACCATTGGGCATTTTTCAGATACTTTTCAAAATTTGTCAATTTTCAAATTTCTCCAAATTAGTACCTGGTGTATCACAACACACTTTTTTCATAACTAGCGATTCAAATGGCTGAACGAACAAGAAAAGGCGACGTTAATTTTATAATACTTTAAAGTTAATATACCACAGCAGAAGAGCTTATTTCTAATTTTATTTAACTTTCAAATTTCCCTGTAGGTTCACGTGCGTAAGAGATGGTAACAGTAGCGAAAACTAACTAAACTAGATAGATATACCTCTAGAACTTAGCAAATATAACAGACTCAAAATTAAAACTAGTTGAGAGTTAATATTCCGTGTTCTAGAAATAACTAATTATTCACACTACGGTATATAGATCTTTACTCAAATGTAGGTGAGCTCAACCTCTCCCGTGATAAATTCGTGTAACCTATTCCTATTGACTGCCTCGTTGGCCGAGTGGTCGCAAGTGCGACTGCCGGGCAAAGTATTACTTGGTTTAAAAAAAATTCTAAGCAGTAGCACGGAGTCTGGAATTGTGCCTGATATATGGCAATAGGCTCACCCCCTATTACGTGGGACTCATAACATAAATAGTGAAAAGTGGGTGCTACATTGTTCATATAGTGGCATAATGCAGCATCCTAAAAATGTAAAAACTGGTCACCGATCCATTATCTGGCCGCGGCAAATGTAGTTTAATATAAGTTGATCCGTTTTAATTTAGACTGTTCTTAATTAATCCCCATGTGCCAAGCCAAAATTCCAGCGAACTAAATCGTGGCCGCTAGTTATTTGTAGGGGAACTTAATATCCGTTTGAGGAAATTTGAAATTTCCTTTCTTAGTTTTAGCTTTCGTTATATCGGGTTGTTATGCAACATTTCCTGCACTGAATGCACTGTTGGCGCGGTAGCTGGATAACCGGCTGCCGCGCAACGTATAGCAGGTTCATTCCCGCATGGAGCAACTCTTTGTGTAATCCACGAATTGGACACTTTCCTTAATCGAAAATAAATTATTTCCACTGTTCAAAACAATCCTTACTAATATTATAAATCGAAAAGTGAGTTTGTTTGTTTGTTATAATAGGGTATGTGTATATGTTAAATAATAGGGTACTTTTTATCCCGGAAAAATTTGATGTTTCCGAGTGAAAACAAAAGAATTGGTATACCAATTGGTGCTGTGTGTATTGGTATAATTATGTCAAATAGGCTACTTTTATCCTTTTGTGACGCGAACAAAGCCGCGGGTAAAAGCTAGTAAAATATAAAAAAAAATAACCACACTTTCATTAATTGATTTTATGACCAACTTAATTTTGGTATTTTTCCAGCAATTTTTTAAGAAATAAGTACAATGTTTGACGCTAAAAAACGTGACGTCACAATTCACAATCTCGTACAAAATCATAGAAAACCGTCGTTGTTGACGGTTCAAGAAAAGTATTGAATTTCACTAGTTGTCAAATACCGTATTGGTATTTCGGCTCTGTCATGTGTCATGTGTATTTTATATTGTATGTTTGTAAATGCGCCCACGACACAAGAGAACATCCTATTGTGGGCAACGTTATACGAAAACTAAACATACTACAAATGTTACACAACCTGATAAATGCTCTATGTACCTGTTATTTTTCGAAGTGAAGGTGCAATTGTGTTAGTGTTCCTATATTTCACTATTGTCAAGTGAAAAAAACTGAACTAAATAACCATTATGTCCTATGGTAATCCCAAGTCGAACTAGGTAATGTATTTTAATGGTGTCTCTATTTTTATTTCGCAATTACAATCTGTGGGAGTTGGCGAGGTATTCTAAAAGTGTCTTACTTATTTTACTTTAGATCTTCTAACTTATGACAAAAGTGAGTATTATATCTCATAATAAATTATATGTCGTCTTAGGTTACGCTATTTACTGCTAGGAATATATTATCGAAGAAGATTTCTTTGCCAGAGACTGTATTACCTGAAGAGTATAACCTGGGTATCTTTAAGGCCCGAGTAAATAGGTTGGTTATGGGACGACGTGCTCCATCGTAGACCGCATCATGGCTTACCACCGGGCGAGATAGTGGTCAAACGTCAGTCCATCAAATAGATGAAGAAGACAAGAAATGGTTTATAAATTGAATAATAATTATGACTTACCTGATGGGTAGTCGTCCGTCACTCTTCCTCTCATACACATGAGTATCACCAACATCTCTGGCGAAGCCAAAGTCTGCCACTTTGCACACCCTGTCTTCTGTGATCAGCACATTCCTCGCTGCCAAGTCTCGGTGGATTATCTGAAAAAAAAAAAAATAGAAGTAGTAATAAAGTACCGACGTGAAGCAACGCTTGCGTTGTGTTTCGTCGTGTCAGTGAGGTTACTGGAGGCCCAATTACCCTCCCCTTCCCCAATCTCCCCAATTCCTGAATCTCTAACGATCCTCAAACTCCTAATCGCCAAAAGGCCGATAACGCACTTATAACGCCTCTGGTGTTTCAGTTGTTCATGGGCGATGCCGATTGCTTACCATCAGGTGATCCGTCTGCTCGGTTACCGGCTTGGCCACAAAAAAATAAAAAAATAACATAGTTTGAGACATTCGTCTTATTCAGAAAATTTTATAACCTTTTTGCATGAATTATGATTAATGTGAGAGTGAGGAAAGTAATAGGTAGTGCTTTGTTATATATGACCTACACCACGTCTGACGTGAGTTTATTTATCTACATATTTATATCTAACCATACTTTATTTACCAGAATCAAGAATCATCAAATTGAAATTGGCAGTAGCATCTCACTTGTGCTCAATTCTTCTATTCTACTATTCTTGTGAAATCTAGTTATTAATTTATTCTTCTTCGAAATATTTGTAGAGGCTAACATTGCAATAAGCTCCAGATTTCTGCGTTAGCTCTAAGATATGTCCAAATAGAATTTTCCATGAATGCTCTATAATAACGCTTTCTTGGAAGTAACGATACCCTATGTGCCACAAAAGAATAGGCCCTCTAAAAATCATCCTACACAAATACAACGGAATGTCATTAAAAACGACCCCATCTTTTGGAGACCAGTACATATTTACCTATTTACTAACGTTCTTACCACTGATAAAATGAATGGAAAATTTCCCATATAACATCATGCCTTTTATCCCCGAACGCGTAAGCCGAGGTGCACATTACGTCACTTAGTGCCGGTGTACAATGTAACACCCACTTTTCACTATTCATGTTATGTGTCCCATGTAATAAGGGTGTGAGCCTATTGCCATTTACCGGTCACAATTTCAAACTCCGTGTTAGATATTTTTTAAATACCCAGCTTTTTACTTTGCCCGACCTGGGAATCGAACCCGTGACCACCTGCCCGGTAGTTGCACTTGGGACCAATCGGCCAACGAGGCAGTCACTATCCGACTTTATAAAAATGAATTGGTGGAAATATCGCCGTTTTTGTCTACTAAGACCGGTCTTCCCAGTAGCAAGTCACTAAGCTGAACATTATGGTCTTCATATCCACCCACTGCCAGCCACAGTGTAGTTACCGTCACTCCATCTAGCTAAAGTCATTATTGGCTCAAATCCACTATTTGAGCCTTAATTTCAATGTTATATATCAGTCAGTCAGCATTGCAATAGCATCCCAATGCTATTGCAATGAGACATCAATCTCAAATGTAACAAAATCAAATTGCAATTCACATTCAAATTTTAGAATAGTAAAAGTCTTACACTAACGATCTACATTACTGTTGAGGTCAACAACCTTAAGATAAAAGTCGACGATTACTCGTGAATTTGAGAGGGAGCAAAAAACAAAAGAATTTTTTTTTTCTAAAATTAATCTGCGCCATTACATTTGCAAAGGCGGTTTCGCTACACAGCCTGCCTGAGTAATAGCAAGGACCACAAAATGTTGGGGCTCTTGACAAGATAATAATGACTAATGAGTCCTTTCAAAAATAATTGGACAATTTAATTTTGTTTATGCGACATATTTGAAATGGCGTATATGTTTTCAAATTGGCAACAATATTTTACGGTCAATTTGGTAGCTTCAAAGGAGATATTTCGAACGAAATGCCTTTGCAGACCATACTGTTTTTGTATTTGAAAATGAAAATGGATTTTATTGTTACGCCTATGTGAAGTTGAGTTCACTCTTTGTGGAATATTAATACGGTCAGTAACAATACTAGGTACTTTCACTTATTTGACTTCAAATTATCGCTTCTTTCAAATTATTGATATTTTTTTATGGAATAGGAGGCAAGCAGACGGATCACCTGATGGTAAGCCATATCAGCGCCGCCCGTGGACACCCGCAACACCAGAGAAGTCATAAGTGCGTTGCCGGCCTTTTAAAAAGGAGTACGCTCATTTTTCGATGGTTTGAAGGTGGCATCGATTCGGAAATACCGCCGACGACAGATCATTCCACAGTTTTGCTGTGCGAGGCAGGAAGCTACGTTAGAAGCGCACAGTTGTGGCCTGCCAACCATTTATATGATGGGAATGCATATGCTGTCGTGAGAGTCGATGGCGAAAAGATGCGGCAGGTATCAGATCAAACAATTCCTCAGAGTGGTATAAGCGATAGAAAATGCACAATGAAGCTACATCTCTACGCATTGCTAAAGTGTCCAGCCGATTTGAATTATCCCGACATACGACAAACAATTATTAATCTGTAATTATTTATATATCTATAAATTATTTTGATACAATGTAACACTCACTTTTCACTATTTATGAGTCCCATGTAATAGGGGGTCAGCCTATTACTTGTGGGTGTTACATTGTACATTGGCATATCTAATGTGCACCTCTGCCTACTCCTTCAGGAATAGAAGGCGTGATGTTATGTTATGATACTATATCGTTACTTTCTCTTAAAGATTACGAGGCATCAGGTTGTTGTTATTAGATTTCAACCGCTTAATGTGATCATAAATAACGGCACTCCTGTAAAACTATAGATAGCAATGTTGCATAAAAGCGAAAAGGAAAATGTTCGATGAGGAAAATAAATATTTCTTTTGTCTCCTCAATAAGAGCTTTTATTCAACTAAAAGCCTTTTATAAAGAGTTAATATTTTCAAGGCTACTCTCAATCTCAAGTCTTTAAAGTTTATTTTCTTCTGTTTATGAGTAAATACGTTGTTTATTTACTTTTTATGTCCAACAGGTGCGTAAAAGTCTATAATAACGGAATGAAATGGCCTAGCACGTAGACATTTTATTTTCAGTTTTAAAGTGTATTTTGAAATTATTTTAGCTGGCTTCTATACTTTAATAACATAACATCACGCATTTTATCCCTGAAGGAGTAGGCATAAGTGCACATTACGGCACTTAATGCCACTGTACAATGTAACTACCACTTTTCACTATTTATGTTAAGAGTCCCATGTAATAGGGAGTGAGCATTGCCCTATACCGGGCACGATTCCAGACTCCGAGTTACTACTGAGATTTTTTTTAAATCCCAATCTTTACCTGACCCGGGAATCGAACCCGAGAACCCTGGCCCGGCAGTCGCACTTGCGATCACTTGGCCAATGAGGCAGTCTTAATATACAGATATACTTTAATATTCTAACTATACAGAAAAAAATATTATTATAATCTTTGCTTTCGTACAAGGCGCTTTGTTTTTTCACTAAAAAGGCGGTCTTTGCCAAGTTACAAAATATTTATTATTTTCCGCAATATTTCACTTCTTGGATCGTTTAAATTACGTAATACAAGAAAAGATAAACGTTATAATTTTGCTCTTATAAGCTCGGCATGACAAAAGAAATATTAGTCTAATATTTTAAATACTTTAGCCTAAATCTGAAAGTAGATATTTGAGGCATAAACTTGCTACGCAACCTTTGCAATAAAAACAAAGAATTTCTAAGTGATAAGGCCTGTATCACTACAAATTATTTAGCATAATGAAAACTTTGTACAAAAGCTAAACTTTGAAGAAGTTAAGCCGTCTGCTAACTTACGCGAAAGCTGTTGCAAAACGGAAGCGTGAAGCGCGGTTAAGCGGTACTTGAATAAGTCAATTAGGGACCATTTTATTTTATTGCACACAATTAGACCCTTATAGAGGTTATAACCTTTATCTTGAGATATTCTTATTATTTCTCTTGACTTTACTCAGAGAAAGAAAGAAAGAAAGAAAGAAATCATTTATTTGCTAATAATGTAGGTATACATATAAGTTGGAATAAAGTTAATTGACCCAGTACATTTTACCTTTCGGCATGCAAATTAAATTATAATGCGATCTGAATGTCGTCAAATAGATAACTAGGTATACAGTCAAAATTTTGAAAAAAAAAATAAATGCTAAAATGCTACGATCAAATATAAGCTATACAAAAAGAAATAATTAAATATGATGCAATGTCAATGTGGGTATCAGGTCATTAGGGTTGGCATTGAGTCTTAATTAGGTGCGGCATAATGCCAATGAGTTGCTCAGATATAGACAGTGACATCTGAGAAATATATTATTATATCTGAGGATTATATAATAGGGGATGCTCAAGAATCTAAGCGATTTTATGTGATGATTAGTTAAGTGTGAGAGAGCCATGCTTCGGCACGAATGGGCCGGCTCAACCGAAGTGATACCACGGCCTCACAGAAAACCGACGTGAAGCAACTCTTGTGATGTGTTTCGTCGTGTGAGTGAGGTTTCCGGAGGCCCAATTATCCCCCCCCAGTCCCCCCAATACCCTAATCCCCTCATAATCCTCAAATTTCCAAATGCCAAAAGGCTGGCAACGCACTTGTAACGCCTCTAATGTTTCTGTTGTCCATGGGCGGCGTTGATTGCTTACCATCAGGTGATCCGTCAGCTCGTTTACCGGCTTATCCCATAACAAAAGTTAAAACGCTAAATAGTGATATAGCCAATTTTTTTCTTTTCATCAATAGTCAAATGCCAGAAAATATTCGAGGAAAACAAGTACTTAGTCCAGATATATTTAGTCTACTGTTGACCCAATTACTGACTACATACGACTTAGTCACTGTCCAACCAAAACAAAGTTATAAAATTGAGGAATCGCCTTATTGACATGTCGTTTCGAGGATGGACCTTGGAGGCCAATCTAATTCAACCAATTCTTTTTTCATGGTTGTCCTACTTTTTGATCAGGAAGTTTATTTCGTAGACACAAGTCCTTGTCTTTCAAGGTTTTTGTTATCATTTTGATAGATAACAACAAGTTTGTTATTTACATGGGTTTTTTTATTTTTAAGGGGGGAAAATCATCGAATGACTTCTCCCGCCTGGGTGAGTAGCGGGAGGGAGTGTCACACTCCTACTGATTAAAAACCACTTCTTTCTTACTCCTGCCCTTTGGGCCGGAGCCTCTTAAGTCCTCTGCGGCTCCGTATCGGCATCAGCCCTATTGGGCCCCATCCGTGATGGTATTATGGGTCGCCGTACGCTCGGGTCTGGTTCTGGTCAGGCGGCGAGCAACCCATGCTCGCCGTCCGCAGGCCCGTGCTAGGCAGAGGTTTATATGTTAATTGTCCAAATACTTAAACGCCACTTAGTTTTAACCTCATGTCTGTCAATATAATGAGAACCAATAGAAAACACATTGTGTCCCGCGTACATCTGCGTTCGGACAGTTCACAGATTAAGTCGCGCTTAAGTATAGTTTTATCACTAACTACAAATTTATTGTAAAATGACTGAGATGGTTTGATATTAAATACGTAATACGGAACAACCTCTTTGTGTGATCAAGATTCCACATTGTTGTTCTGGGTCTGGGTGTCATGTGTATGTGAACTTGTATGTTTATAAACGCACCCACGATAGAGGAGAAAATCCTAGCAAGGGGCAAAGTTTAAAAAAATAAAAGCATTGCTCTAATAACAGCGTAAAGGTCTAAGAATATGAAATTATTTTGTGAACTTACCCCTTGCAAACTAAGGAAATCCATTCCTCTCGCGACTTGGAAGGCGAACTTCGTGAGATCCTGAGATGTAAGGAACTGGCTTCCATGGGTGTTCCCGTAATGACGTTCAGCTCTGGAGTCTCTGAGGAACTGCTGGAGCTTGCCAAGGCTTACAAATTCCATTATTACTAAGGTGGGTTCCTGAAAAGAAGATAGAGGATTTATTAATTCTTCTTCTTCTTCAATAGTATAGAAGTGCCACTGCTGACCAAAGGCCTCTTCTCACATGGAGAAAGTCTGAGCATTAATCACCACGCTTGTTCAATGCGGGTTGGCAATTTCAAACTTATAATTAGGAATTACCTATAAGTCCAGGTTTCGTTCGATGTTTTCCTTCACCGTTTATCAGTGGTGTCTAAATAATTTTCGAAAGTACATACATATAACTTGGAAAGTGTCGTACTGGTACTTGACATTGGTAGGTTTCGGTTTTATCTTAATCGTATTTGTCTTAAACCGCTGAGCCACCACGACATACAATATTCTTATATAATACAAAAATTCAGCTCTTGGTACTTAGTAATTCCTTTAAACCAGAACAAAGATATTTAGATGTGCTTACAGTTTTCAATAACAAATATAGATAAACCTCTTTACCTATTTATTTATAGGTATAGCAATATCTCCTCAGTTGTATTCCTAAGTTGTCGTACCTAACATAGTTATTAGTTTGTTTGTTCTTAACTCGAGACGTACTCTTAGATCATTTGAAGACTCAGAGCGTTTGTAACAAACATTATTGGTATTACGAAATCGAAGCAATATAATATATTTATCAAAGATTGTGTCTCGATGGTTAAACCGATTATTTACTAACGACTCCATCTCAGACATATGAGATATATTATAATATGAATGTTGGTATCAATAAATTTATGTTAGCTGTTTTGAAAGACAAAGTTAAGGCATTTGTTGAAATTTCCTATAAATTTGTTATAACTATGTTATTGTACAAATTTAATTCGAGTTAAATGTCGTGGTGGCCTGGAGGTTTAAGACGCCCGCTTCTAATGCATGAGAGTGCGGGTTCGAAACCTACCAACGGCAAATACCAATGTGACTTTTTCCGAGTTATTATGTACTTTCTAAGATTATGTAGACACCATTGACAAATAGTAAAGATAAACATCATGAGGATCATAAAACCTGGGCTTATAATTTTTAATAATTATAAGTGGTGATGAAGGTTCAAACCTTCTCCATGTAAGAAAAGGCCTTTGGTTAGAAGTGGCCACTTATAGGCTGTTGATGATGATTTAATTAGAGTTCATGGAATATTAAAATATATACTGAATGGTTTCACCAACCCGTACAGTATAAATGTTTAAAGAAATATAATGATACGATATTTTGTTGTAATTACGATGTAACTACCTTTTCAGTACAGCATCCAATCAGTTGGACTACATTTGGATGGTAGTCCAAATTCTTCATAACCAATAGTTCTTGTAGAAGATCGATTTTTTCTTTTTCTGAAGCATTTTCTTTTAGTGTCTTCACTGCAACTGTTTGTTCACCTTTCTTTCCTGTAATACAAAAAACAAACATTATTTATAATTGTAACAAAAAAGTAATGGTGATAAATTTTTTTAGAATTCAGATTTTTTGATGAAATATAGATAAATACGATTGACGAACCGTGGATAAATATTAAACAACGTGTTAGTGATGGACCAGTGTTCAACAATACAAACTCCTCCATGCTTTTCAAACATGATTAAAATGATAATCCAATCATAAACCAAATAGTGTAGTGTAATTTTTCACTTATAATCTTACGTTGTTTTTATTTTTTTAATGTTCTTACGTATATTTTGATTTTTTTTTATTGCTTGCGTATCCTCACACCTTGTACGCCTCAAATGGTAAAATACGTAGTTCTTTAATTTTTTATAAGACTTATAATTTGTATCTACTCATGTTTTAAGCCAAGATACACTAGGGAACAGGGACAAATGTCTTGCGACACGATGTATGTATAATTATGTCAGTTATATCTCGTTATTATATTTTAAGACAAGGTCCTGAGGAAATGTCACACGTGCCGTTATATGAGTCAGCCTTAATTCTTATCATTAATCAAAACTGTTTAAGACAGAAATACTGAGAATGTTTTGCTTGTCTTTAGATTTAGGTATGCCGTGATGTCTCGGAGGTTTAAGACGTCGCTGATGTCGCTTTTCATGCATTAGGGTTCGGGTTCAAAACCTACCAACGGCAAGTACCAATGTGACGTTTTCCGAGTTGTATGTACTTTCTAAGATTTTGTAGACATCACTGACAAACGGTGAAGGTAAACATTGTGAGGAAACCTGGGCTTATAATTTCTAATTATAAGTTTGTAATCGCCAACCCGCATTGAGCAAGCGTGGTGATTAATGCTCAAACCTTCTCCGTGTGAAAAAAGGCTTTGTTCAGCAGTGGGCATTTATAGGCTGTTGTGTAAATGTGTTCCCTAACCGGGAGCATTCGCGTGTAATGTAACATGGTTGCATGCTTGAATTTACCATTTTATTAAAATGGGTAATTCAAGCATCAATTAATATTTGACGAATAATTTCCTATAATTTGAAGTAAATTTGCCGAATATGTATTATTTTAACAATAACACAATATAATGTGGACGAAAGTAATTAACTATGAAATATTGCATAATAGCTTTGATTAAAACGTAACTGAAATATTAATGTACCACAAAACTGATAAAGGTGATATTTTAATTGCATCCATTTCCCAATACAATTGGAAACAATGCCCGCATAATGTCTATACGTTTAACATTATTACGCAAATAAATGAAAGTTTTCATTAAAGAGAGGGGGGAAAATCATCCAATGACTTCTGGAACCCGGGTGAGGCAAGAGGGAGTGTCAAATTCTTACTGACTAAAAACCTGTTCCTACTCCTGCACTTCGAGCCGGAACCCCGGCAACCTGTTAAGTCTTCCGCGGCTCCGTATCGGCATCAGCGCTATTGAGCCCCATCTGTGGTGGTCTGATGGCTCCATGAGGAATGGCGCGCGGAACGCGACGCGCACGGGCCAGCGGACGGCGAGTCATCCGTGCTCGCCGTCTGCAGGCCCGTGCTTACGGAGGCCGAAGATCGAAAGGTTTCATTATTAAAATGTTATCAAAAGGTTTCAAGTAATTAATATTAAGTAAAATAAGGCTTTTAATTTGATCTGGCTAAGAAACTCCGAGGATGCAGGTAGTTTCCAACCGGCCTATCAGGAAGTCATTGGTGGAGACCTATGTTCAGCATTGGACGTCCTATAGCTGATATGATAATAATGATGACCAATATATTTAAAAAAAATATCGAGGTATGTTTTCAATCAACTCCAAATACAACAAAAAGCTGATAAGGTGTTTTAATAGGGCAGTTACCTAAATTTCATTTCAACGTCCGTCTGGTAGATTAATTTAAAACATTAGACACGTATTTTTTATTTTCTCATACAATTAAATACTTTCGACGATATATTAATCTGAAATATCGTGTGACGTCGCAATACGCTACATTTTGTAGCACTTAGTGACGTAACGACCTCTCACTCCTAAACTTATGTTAACTCTATTTTATCTAAGTATTGTAACTTTATACGAGAAAATAATAAAATACGTGTCTAATATTTTTTAATTATTTAACTGACGGACTAATAAATTTCATTCTCTGGCAAGTACCATATTGAATAGCCTTCAAATTAAAAACATCAGAACTATACAGTCTAAACCTAGTAGGTCCAATTACCCCCGTAATTATTAGTCGGTCTCTCCCGAATCCCGAATCCTCCACAATCCTCAAATTCCTAATTCCCAAAAGGCCGGTAACGCACTTGTAACGCCTTGGTGTTTCGGGTGTCCATAGGCGGCGCCGATTGCTTACCATCAGTTGATCCGTCAGCTCGTTTTCCGGCTTATGCTATAAAAAGAAAGGTTTTGGTTTACCCCTAACTGACAAGTGACGGCCTCACTTGACAATAACATTAACATTTTCTTTTGAAGATCACGGCCCTAGAACGTGACTGCCAACTCCAAATGTGGTTGTTTATCTTTTTTAGGGCTTTTCACATACTAGAGACGTCACTTTGTATTCGGTTCGGATATGACATGATTTGACTGAATCTGATTTCAATACTTACACTATTTGATCAGAGGGGGTGTAATTACACAGAGAAAATCATTCACGCAGGAATTCCTAGCCTTTAGCAATTGTAGAACAATCCTTTGTTTATAATGTGACACAAAACTTATAATATTGATTCTAACTCTGTGCAATAGTAGTGTCATGTTTAATAAATGAAAATCTCGTTATTTCAATTATGCCATTTATTTGACAGCTGCATTAATTCCAACTCAACTTCGGTTCCATTACAATCGTCTCAGTAACACCCCTATCACATACACACACGGAACCGCAACAGACGTGTTTAGGGTTGCTAACTAAAGAAACAGTTGCACTTAGATATACGAGTCGTATGGCACCCTTCACTTGCGTTAAGCTAAGGTCACACTGTTTTCTTTATCGCGGGCAGTTATCCGCCCTAACCACGATATCGTGACGCATGCGCATGCTTGCAAGTGCGGCTGCTAGCCAAAGGATCTCGGGCTCGATTCCCAAGTCGGGCAAATACTACAGGGGTTTTAAAAAATTCTCAGTAGTAGCACGAAGTCAGGAATTGTGGCAATAGGCTCACCCTCAATTACATGGGACTTATAAATGGTGAAAAGTGAACGTTACATTGCTTCCCCCTTCGGGGATAAAAGGCGTGGTATAATATTTTAAAATCACATTACAAGTGTGGTCGCTTGTGTAGCTACTTTTTTACAAAATTACAAGGTAAATTAATTAAATTTTAGTATAAAAATAACGAAGTCTTTACCGCCGCGGTTTCACTATAGTGTGGCCGGGGCCTTAGTAATGGAATGACTATCTTCGCTTGTTTTATACTACTGTTGACACTTTATGTGTCGCGTGGACGTGAATTGGAATGAATTGGGTAAACCTTGTTATGTAAACAAACGACATGGTTTATGTCGGAATACTAAAACGCACTTAATTTTAAGTCGTGCTTAAATATAGTTTTGTCTCCACTAATTCTATGTATAATGACAGAGATGGCATGATATTTAAACTGTCAAACACCAAGCGGTCACCGGTGACCGCAACCTATTAGTCTTTAATTGTCTATAAATACGGTACTCGACGAGTTAAGCACGACTTAAAATTGAGTAACGTTTCAGTATTCATATGGCATATGTCACGTTAAGCTGGTTTTTCTTAGTGATGGAGTATGTGCAGTTGTTAATCTGAGCTAAAGACACTTTTTATTAATTTCAACAAACAAACAACAACCAACAGGACAAATAATTATCTAAGCTGCCTCGTTGGCCGAGTGATCGCAAATGCGACTGCTGGGCAGGGTTCCATTCCCGGGTCGGGCAAAGTATTACTGTGTTTTTAAAAAAAATCACAGTACTAGTCTAGAATTGTGAAAAGTATTTATCATAACACAAATAGTGAAAAGTGGGTGTTTCATTGTACAGTGGCATTAAGTGCCGTAATGAGCACTCTGTCTACCCCCCGGGGATACAAGGCGTGATGTTACGTTAGACAAAATGTAAGACAAAGAGTGCTCATGATATGATTAACTTTCCTTTATTTTATTTTATTTTTATTTTATTTACATTTCTGTATAGAATAAAAGATGGCGGACTTAATGCCGGGCGACACTCTCTAACCCCAACCTTTATACGCTTTTTATTATTTAAAATAAATTCGAATCAGCTGTTTTCGAACACACGTTATATTTTATTACATTAACAGCGATTCTCGATACAATCTTTGTAAATTGAAAAACAAAATGTCGAGCGCAATTTTTCTCAATATCGGTCTACTGACCGATTTTACCGAAATGACTATGCCGAAGCGGAGAGCCTTTTTCGAATCTTTTAAGGTTTTTCATTTAAGAAAATGAGTGTGAAAACCTGTCTACACTGTTTGAATATTTAATCTTACTATCATTTCAAATTGAACTTTGTTGATTGGATGTTAGGTAATCTTTTGCGTAAAACGTTAGGCGGTTTCTGATAAAAATAAAACAGACACAATTATTATTGTTTTGTTATTTTACATAATTATTCCGTTTAATACTAGATTGCTAAACAAATTCCTCACAGTTGTATAAGTTGTGTGTCCTGAAAATAATGACTATTTTAAATAATGACTGTATTAAATAACTTACGTAAGTCATATTATTTAGAAATGTCCTAATAATAAGTAAGTATAAGTTTCAACGCCTGTACAACATTTAAATATAAGTACATTTAATTGTAATGTTTAGCGACTCGACCCCGCAGTCAAACCATTCCAACGGTTTTGCGGGGCTTAGATTATAAGGTACTTACTTGTGTTTTTAAATAAAATTAAAAAAAAAATACTGTTTGATGAGGACTTGTGCCGAGAATGCTGCTCATGAATATGAGCCTCTAACATGGCTTGAAGCTAGTCGAGTTCCTCATCAAATTGTTACTAAGCCGAAAACATAATAATTAATTTAGTATGTCTCACGAAAGTTTTAACAATTACTGCTCATTTATTCCATCACATTCATTTATGAGGTTTATCAAATTTTTGATAGTTTTAAATCTTTCATTGAAAATACATAAATAAAGTTAAAATGAGAAAAAATGTATTATATTTCAGGTAGTAAGTAAAAAATATGCATTCAAAATAATATCGCCAGTCTTTTATTGGTTGTTTCAACAAAAACCTTTAGGTATTCAAAATGGTGGGAAATTCGCAAAATTTCACTTAACTGCGTTTTAAATCTAGTAAATTATTTGTTGTATCTCTATTCATATTTTAAATTGATTAATCTGGATGATTGATTATTATATATATATCTAAAGAAAATGTAAACTCAAATAAAGAAACAGATTGAATTTTAAAATATTTTACTTATGGTATTCTTGCTAATGGATTGATTTGCGAATGCTTAAAATATTTAGATTCATTTTTATAGTTTTTTTCTATTGTATACTTTGTTTTGTGTTGGTATGATAACGACTGCGCAGGGGGGTCGATACCCGAAACGGAGCCGCGGAAGGTCTAACGGGTTGCCTGCTCCCCGGTTCCAAGAGCAGGAATAGGAACGGGTTGGTTTTTAGTCAATAAGAGTCTGACACTCCCTCCCGCCTAACCTAAGGCGGGAGAAGTCGTTAGATGACATTCCCCCTCTAAAAAGAAATCTTATTAAAAATGTTGATTTTACTCACTCATGAATTTGATACTTAACTACCTTGTAAAAATAATAATTATCTTCGTCTTCTTGCAAATGTAGTAATATAATATAATTGTTTGACGAAAGTGATCCATACATAACATCCACTTTTCGCGCAAACTTCACCTTATTCTTTCTAAGATTTAATCACCTCAAATACAAATCATCCCAATGTCTTCAATCCCTTGCAACGCCTTTGGTGTTTCAGGTATCTATGGGCGACGCCGATTGCTTACCATCAGGTGATCCGTCGGGTCGTTTACCAGCTTATCCCATAAAATTCAAATGAGAAAATTGTCTCATCATAAATAACCTGTAAATTATAGTCACAATGATTAACGTGTATGCTCCAGATTTCGTGTAAATCCTTCCGGCTCTCTGCGATCGTGTCAGATTCGCGTCCCATCGGATTATGTGAGAAAAGGACCATGTTGCAACTATATGTGCTCGCTTCGTAATTAATTATGGTTTCCCAAACAAACTGTTCTTATTGAGCTTAGGTAACTGAGATGTTGGTTAAACGTTTTGCAACTTAAAATAATAATAGGAATCTTATCTTTTACGGCGGAAGTGTTTGTTTTTTTGTTTGAACGCGTTAATCTCCGTAACTACAAGTCTGATTGAAATAATATTTTTTGTGTCCGATAGCGCCTTTATCGAGGATTAGCGGCCCGTCCCGGCTTCGCACGGGGGGACTTAAGATTTTTTACATAGTTTTACGTTTTATTTATATTTATTCTCATTTTTTTTTAGCGACCTGCCCTCCGTTGTCGATGTCGCGTCTTAAGGTAACCGATTGAACAATTCAAAAGTTATCTAGAGCAAACTTTTATAAGGATTGAACCATTCATTAAAACAATTGTTATGGGTAAACTATAAAAGGTAGACATATGCTCTCGCGGACTTTTTTAAAAATAATGTTAAGATAAACAATTCATCTATAGAACATTTTTGTATAACTTTAACTATATGCTCAGCGCACGCCACGGAAGGCCTCAGAAACGATACTTTTCCCCCGTTTTTAAAACATTTTTGGTTACTGCTCCACAACTATAGGACCTAGCGTGATATTATATAGCCTATGTTACTTCTGAATAATGCAGCTTTCGAATGGTGAAAAAATTATTGCAATCGGTTCAGTATTTTGAGTTTATTCATTACAAACATACAAAAATACAAAAATACAAATCTTTCCTCTTTATAATATTAGTATAGATGACTATAGACTAAAACATCACGCTATACCCAATAGGAGCTGAGCAGAGCGTGTGAAATCGCGCAGAAGTAGCTAGTGTAATATATCTTGCGACTAGGATATTGACAGGACCTTATTGCTTTACTACAATATATTAAACACAACTTGTTTTATGCCTGATATTCGCATTTTTTCTCTAAGACAGACAAAATAAAGTAATATATTTTTATAAATTCTAAACTTTGGGTTATGGTAATTTTATTAAAAAGTGGTCATATTGCTATACATTGATCCCGATTGACTGTTGAGGAAACGAAAGAGGTATGTATGAATCGTAGTAATTAGCGTTCCATAGTTTCTGCCTTCCCCGGGGGAGAAAGGCGTGAGGTTATGAATGTATGAATTACACCAATTTTCTTTGATCCTATTCTAAATTATTATGTTACTGAGAATTTCATGTAAAATCAGCATAATTTTTCTTAATTTCTTTTTTTCGTGAAATATAAAATCAATGTATTGTGGATACAATTCGAAGCATACATAACATAACATCACGCCTTTTATCCCCGAAGAGGTAGGTAGAGGTGTACATTATACCACTGCACAATGTAACACCCACTTTTCACTATTTATGTTATGAGTCCCATGTAATAGGGGGTGAACCTATTGACAGATACCGGGCACAACAATTATTAAAAAAAACAATTAGAAACACTTACAGAAATATTAATTATGTTTACTTACCACCAATATCCGTAGCTTGAGCTCGCCACACCTGGCCAAAGGCACCTTCTCCCACGATGTTGAAGATCCTTAGCTTATGTCGAGGGAACTCCCACTTGTCCGGTGGATGGTCGTCTTTTGATATCGACGTTTCCTCCGACAACTGTAAATTGAAGAGATTAATTAAATTTCCAAACAAAAATTTCAAAAGTCTTCTGAAATATCCAAATGTTTTACTAAAGCCACATTTTCAACAATTTGAAGATCACACAAAATGTTATAGCAGTTTCATGAGGAATTTAAACAAATTTTACAACATAACATAACATCACGCCTTTTATCCCCGAAGAGGTAGGCAGAGGTGCACATTATTCCACTGTACAATGTAACACCCACTTTTCACTATTTATGTTATGAGTCCCATGTAATAGGGGGTGAGCCTATTGCCATATACCGGGCACAATTCCAGGCTCCGTGCTATTACTGAGAATATTTAAAAACCCAGTAATACTTTGCCCGACCCGGGAATCGAACCCGAGACCCCTTGCCCGGCAGTCGCACTTACGACCACTCGGCCAACGAGTTTTACAAATAGTTAACTAATTCAATTTGCTTTAAGTGGGTAATTAGAATTTTTATTTTTAGCCTATCTATCTGCTAAAATGTATTTAAACTACATAATTGTCTATGCAATATTATGTGTTTGAGGGACATGACATTTAAGTGTGGGAGTGTCATACTTGCGCACGAATGTGCCGGCTCGACCGGAGTGACACCACGGCCATGAGGCCGTAAACTAATGATTGCGTTGTGTTTCATCGTGTGAGTGAGGTTACAGGAGGCCCAATTACCCCCCTCTCCAATATAATCCTAGAATCCCCAACAATTCCCAAATGAATGGTAACGCACTTGTAACGCCTTTGGAGTTCCGGATAGGCAACGTCGATTGCTTACTATCGTCTTGTCCCAAAAAAAACCTATCAAAAATACAATAAAAAATAATCATAACAATTATTTTTATGAAAAGATTTATGTATTCACAGCATAACTACAGAGTGTCAGACAATACTAGTAATTTTGAAAAAAAAATCTTCATAGGAAGTTTTCTTGGAATAGAAGATTTGGTAGACAATAAACAAAATAACAGTTACAAAATACAACAAGCGTCATACCTTATTTTATTGCTACATAAAAAAACTATTTTATTCAAACCACATTTAATATTAAGACGCACACGTAGTCTATGAAAAAAAAGATTACATAGATACTTTATTTAATTCATATTTGCACGCGAACGTACTTCGAAACATCTGTATGGAAACCAAAGCAAGCATTTTTGTAAGAAAAAATCTAATAAGATTCATAGATTTGTATCTTGAAATATGTATGCAGAATGGCTTTTGAAATGGGTACTTAGATACATTGGATCTAAGTATTGGTTGGATTAAGTATACATAGAATACAAAATCATTTACAAGATTATATTTTACAAGTTGTGTTGAACGAGTGACGACACGGACGTCAAGTTGATCGGTGCACCTAACTATTGTCAGTGAAATAAAACGAGCTATCCTATACAAGCAATTGTTTGCTCAAAAAGTTTATTAAGCAGTATTTCACTACACTAACTGTTATCAAGTGTGAAAGTGCAGTGTTTAAAAGTTTATCGGTGTTTTAACTTAGAACTGTATAAAAGTGACTAAAATCTACCCTATACATTAAAATTATTGAAACAATTGAGTAAACTTTTAAAAATCGAACCGTTAAGTGATACCGTTAAGTGTGTGCGTCTTATTCCATTAACCACAATATTACTTAAATCAATCAATATATTCTAATAAACACCAAAACACCATAACAATAGTTTTTGTATATAGCGACATCTATTGACATTAAGCGGAACAACTGTGTTAATATTATCTGACCGTAACATGCCTACAGCAAAGTGTGGTGGTTGTGCGAAATTTTTATCGCCATTAGACGCTGCCAAATGCAATCACTGTAATGGTCTTTACCACCGTGCTTGTGTTTGCCTCCCGAGCACTGGTTTCATTAAACCTGCTTGGCGCTGCCCTGAGTGTAGCAAAAACCAGGTGAGAGACAATAAGGCAGATACACCAGTTCGGACCAGGACTGTCCAGGTTGAAGAGCACTTAAATCCTGAAGAACTTATGGAGACCAGCACAATGAGCTGCACGACTCTGGACGCTACCAACCCTTTATCTCCAGATTTAGCTGACGAACTGCGGCTATTTAAGGAGGAACTGCGAAAAGAATTTCGCCTGATGCATCGGGAGCTCCAGCAGCTGCGCACGGAAATGGCGCAACTCAAAGAGTCTGTCAGGACATCTGACGAGCGTATGGAGAGCTTGGAGGTGCGTGTGGGGTCCCTCGAGCAAAGGCTGGAGCAACAAGTCCTGCCGGAGAAGGGTTCATTAGAGAACACCATTGACGAGCTGAGGTGTCAATTAAACGACCGAGATCAAGAGCTATTAGTTAACGATATCGAGATCTCAGGAATCCCTGAAAGCAGGGACGAGAGCACCCTCCACCTGATAAAGATTCTCGGAACAAAGCTCGGCGTCAACATTGATGAGAAAGACGTCGTTCACGTCGAGCGCGTTGGTTCCACGCACCGAAATCGAATCACCAACACCATCTCTGCCGACCCCACTGCGCAGCGGCCGCGTTGTATATCGGTTCGTTTCGCGAGGCGATCTACGCGTGACTCATTGCTGCGCGCGGCCCGAGTGCGGCGCGGTCTGACTACACATGACCTCGATGTGAATGGGCAGGCGCACCGTATCTACATAAATGAGCGGCTTACGCGAACAAACCGCCAACTATTTTACCTCGCTAGACAGGCGGGGACTCGGAAAAATTGGAGGTATGTCTGGACGAGGGATGGGAGAATCTTGGCACGCAAAGAGGATGGCCTAAAGGCCGAGCGCGTCCGAAGTGAGGCCGATATAAGCAGGATTTTTGGTTAGGGACCTGTTTGTTCTGTTTGCAAACATGTGTTACAAGGTAGTCATAAGTCACTTGTCTTACACTAATTGTATTGTTATTGTGTTGTCTATGTATAGGGCGGTAGAAACGTTTTCAATGGTTTTCAATGGTTGTGGATCTTTTTTGGGGTTGTGTGTGTGTCTTTATCAAGTTATGCACAAACTGGATGATATAATTTTGTTCTTACTATTTGTTTATTTGAAGGTTATTGTACTTTTTATTACCTGTTTAAAAATTGATTACACTTTTTTGTTCCATGTGGGTATATACAAAAATTGTTACTGTCTGTTATGTTTTGCATCGGTATGTGTCATGACGCTTATCAGTGGCGCAAACGTAAACCAGTATTATAGCACTACACATAGATACCTACACTTAACTTTTACTGCATTATTTATAAGTATATTTATATATGTACATGTATCACAACTCGTTTATTTGTTTCTCCTCATTTTTTACACTAAGCATATTATTACAATGTTTACTATTGTTAGACAGCGACAAATACAAACACTACTATTTTATCAAATTATTAAATATACAAAACATAATATACTGTTCTTTTATTACAATGATGACAACTATAAGAAATAAGTTTTTTAAAGTTGGTTTTTTTAATGCTGGGTCACTGGGTACGGGTCATGATGACTTAATTGGGGCACTAGCCAGGCATTGTTTTGATGTGGTGGCTATTAACGAAACTTGGTTGCGACCTGGACAGGAGGGAAGGGCTCCTGTGGTGCCAGGCTATAGACTACGTCACACGCCGCGGCCTATGAGTGTGCGCTCGGGTCGCGGTGGTGGAGTTGCTTTTTATCTTCGCCGGGGATTAAGCGCGCGTATTTGTACTGCGGTGGTTGATCCCAGGTTCGAATCAGTTGAACAAATGTGGCTGACTCTGACATTGAACGGGAAAAAAATCGCCGTGGGTACGGCCTATCGACCGCCTTGGCTTGACCTGGTCCTATTTTTGGACGCCATAACGGATTCTATCAGTTCACTGGGAGACTGCGACCACTACATACTGCTTGGCGATTTTAATGTTAATTTACTGGACACTGTTGGCATAAAGACGAATAAAATTAACGAATTTCTTAATTGTCTCAATCTCACGCAACTGGTTTCTAGTCCCACGCATTTCACATCATCCAGCGAAACTCTCATCGACCTTCTGTGCTCGGATATGATGGCAAGGTTTGTATCCGTGGAACCACTTGGCTCTCTTTATGGCCATTCCATTATAGTGGGTGAATTTCATATTAGGCGGGATAAATTCAAACCATACATAATAAAATACCGGCCTCTTAAAGATGTTTGCATAGATAGGTTAGGGAAGGATTTATCACTTTCAGGCTTGGAGTACATTTCCTTATTAGACAACGTTGATGACATGGTTCATTTCTTTAACACTCACATGATCGCCCTGTTTGATGCTCACGCGCCGGTAAGGTCTTGCACGATTAAGGAGAAATCATATCCGTGGATTACTGACACCATAAAACTTATGATGCGTTTACGTGACGATGCACTAAGTGCTTGTAGGAAAAATAAAACAGAGTCTAAAATTAAATACTATAAGGAACTAAAACGCCTAGTGGTTAAGTCATTGCATAGTGAAAAAGTTGCGTACTTCAAGCATAATATAAATAATAAAATTAAAAACCCAAAATTATTATGGAAAAATTTGAAATCTACTTTGTTGCCGTTCAAAACTATTCAAGATCTATCCTCTCAATTCACAAATCCTGACCAAATTAACAAAAATTTTTTGATAGTGCCTGGTAACCTTACAGCCAACGAGTCACTGATGACGTTTTATGAGAAAAATAAATACGGTGAAGCTACTTTCTCTATCAGTCCAGTAGAACCGAATGTCGTCACACGAATAGCCACAAATCTTAAGAGCAACGCTGAGGGCCACGACAATATCACTTTGGACATGATAAATATGACACTGCCGCACTCATTAAACGTTATAACTCAAATAATTAACTGTTCCATTGAGACTTCAACGGTTCCCGAGCAATGGAAAATTGCTTCAGTTAGGCCATTACCGAAAAATTTAAACCCAACTGAATTGAAAGATCTACGTCCTATTAGCATTTTGCCGTGTTTGTCCAAGCTGTTGGAGAAAGTCGTTAGTCAACAGTTGATTCAATTTTTGGAACAGAATAGTATTCTACCTGACTTACAATCTGGGTTTAGGAGGCAACGCAGTACGTCTACTGCTTTGCTGGACGTTACGGATAATATTCTGGTGGCTCAGGATCAGGGAATGTGTACAGTGCTTGTCTTGCTGGATTTTTCCCGCGCATTTGACGCAATAAATATTCCCCTATTATTGTCCAAGTTGAGTTATTACGGTTTCGCGCCTAGTGCCGTGCAGTGGTTCCGCAGCTACCTCACGAATAGGAAGCAATTTGTCGATTTGCGTCTGAGTGATGGCACTACTCTTAGATCGTCTTATATGACAGTAGAGAGAGGAGTCCCTCAGGGCTCCATCTTGGGTCCGATTATTTTTATTCTTTATTGTGCAGATATAATTAAATGCATCCATAAATGTAAATACCACATATACGCCGATGATGTCCAGGTTTATATATCTTTCCGTCCAGATGAGTACTATGATGCCATTAAGGATCTTAACGATGACCTACACAAAATTGCCACCTGGTCTGAGGAGCACTGCTTGTCATTGAATCCAACAAAAACCAAATATTTGGTATTTGGCTCACGACAACAGCTTGCAAAGCTACCTCCATCATTTGACCTGAGATTAATGGGCGAGCAAATTGAGCGAGTGTATGAGGCAAAAAATTTGGGGCTGGTAATGGATAAAGACTTGCGTTTTGAGAGACATGTGGCAGAGTCTGTTAGAAATTGTTTCTATCGCCTGAAGGTCTTATACAGAATACGACCGTACCTGTCAGTGGAATTACGGGAGCGGCTGATAGAGACCTTAGTTCTGTCTAGGTTAAACTACGTAGACACGGTGTATGGTCCACGCCTGTTAGCACGTACAGATCGGCTCATTCAAAGGGTCCAAAATGCTTGCGCTCGTTTCTGTTACAACATTCCTCGCAGAACCCATGTAACACCATATCTGAACGAACACTTCATATTAAAAATGAAATCCAGACGCAAGCTGCATCTGGCCTGCCTTTTATTTGGTGTAGTTAAATACCAGAAACCGGACTACTTATTTAAAAAACTAAAATGGCTTGCGGGCCGGCGGGAATGTGAAAGAAGGCAATGTTCACAGCAACTCACGACCGAGTCATATGGTACAGCCGCTTTTAGGGGCAGCTTTCGCTATGCAGCTTCCAAAGTGTGGAATAACCTCCCACCACCTATTAGAGGGGCAAATACAATGGGTGCATTTAGAAGACGCTTGCGAAAATACCTCATCGATACACAGCGAAGGCTTGATATGGTGGTGCAGAATACCTCAATTATATAATGTACCCGTGCATTCTGTTCATACACACGCAATATAATTTTAATCATATTTAATAAATCTTTTTTGTGTAATTACTATACCCTATTATTATATGTATGTATGTATTATGGTATAACTATATAAATTACTTAATAATTTTATAATACACTTCACACGCTACTCTGCATTTACTGCTTTACGTCCGTTGCGTCGCTGCCACAGGTTCAGTTGAAAACCAGCGTCAGGCACTAGATGTCTGGCATGTATGCTGAACTGGACCTTTTTTGGTGCAGCTGTCGGGCACATGATTATTATTGTTGGTATATTTGACTTTTAAATTTTTGTATACATCTATTTTTGTTTTTCTTTTTTTTAATTTTTTATTTTATTTCACTCCTAATTTTTTGTTTGCATTGTATTTATTGTATTGTGTTTGTGCCTGGTGTTGTACCAAATAAATTACTTTTCTTTCTTTCTTTCTTTCTTTCTTAGAAGGGTGACTAGTAGTATCGGACTTTCCCGATATCTAGAGGTATAAGAAGAGCAGGATTTCAAAGCCGGATTGGCTTTGAAATCCCTTCTCCGTAAGTGACATAATTATCTATTTACTTTTTGGGTTATCGGATACCCGTTGGCCGAGTAGTCGCAAATGCGACTCGGGCAAGGGGTCTCGGGTTTAATTCCCGGGACGGTCAAAGTATTACTGGGTTTTTAAAAATTCTCAGTAGTAGCACGGAGTCTAGAATTGTGCCTGGTATATGGCAATAGGCTCACCCCCTATTACATGGTACTCATAACATAAATAGTAAAAAGTGGGTGATACATTGTACAGTGGCATAATGTGCACCTCTGCCTACCCCTTCGGGGATAAAAGGCGTGATGTTATGTTATGTTTGTTTTTAGGTTATGTAGTATGACGCAAAAGACAGCATCTAAAGGAATTATAGACATCATAGCTTCTACTAGTGCCAGCGGCTTCGCCAGCGTTATTTATGTGTTATAACAAATCATAATCTACCCCTGTTCCACATTTTATCTCGATCCCATTAGCCATTTTGATATGAAGGAGTAACAAACAAACATACAAACAAATGAATTTATAATATTAGTAGTAAGTTATCTTTGTTTGTGAAGTCATAATAATCACAACTAAAGACAGTACACTGTACAGTTACGAAAAATGAAATCTTTGGTCAGATAAATTGGTACCAGTCCTTAGATTTAAATTCCCAATCAAATCGTAGAGCGTTTGACTCCTTAACCTATATTAGTAAGTAATCTTTGTTTGTTAAGTCATCATAATCACAACTAAAGACAGTACACTGTACAGTTACGAAAAATAAAATCTTTGGTCAGATAAATTGGTACCAGTCCTTAGATTTAAATTCCCAATCAAATCGTAGAGCGTTTGCCTCTTTAACCTTGATGACAGGTCAAACAGAGGTGTCATAAGCCTACACTTCTTCCCACTTTTTCGGGGAATAATATAATTAATATTAAGTTACAATATCAGGTCATACAACTGACCTGTAAATGATTGTTGTCCCAAGATTCATAACGATTGGAGTACGCGCGTGGATGGTCCCACATATTAAGCGATGCGTCTTGAAGGACGATCCCACTCGAGTCCTTACTCTGGGAACAAAAACGATTAAGCATTAAACCTCTAGCTTATGAATAAAATAGGATTACCAGATTACCAAGAAACGTATGAATATTGGAATTTGTGTGGAAAATGATATGAACCTGAAGTGCTTACTGAAAATAGATTTGTGAATCGAAACAATGAAAAGTTAATGGTTATTTTAGAGACTTTTAATGTATGACTGCATTATTGGGTTGTGGACTGTGAGCGCTGCTAATAGGTGGAATGGTTGTATCAGGTTTCCTAAATTATATTTTAATCTACTTTAATCCGTCTGCTAGATTAATTTAAAACCCTAGACACGTGTTTTTTCTTTTCTCACAAAATTCAATACTTTCGACGATACATTAATTTGAAATATCGTATGACGTCACAGCGTGCCACATCATAGCACGTTGTGACGTAACGACCTCCCACTCCTAAACTTAGCCCTATTTTATCTAAGTATTGCAACTTAAAACGTGAAAATAAAAAAAAACTACGTGTCTAATATTTTTTCATTATCTAACTGATGGACTAATTAGATTTTTAATTTTGATACCCTGGAAACTACCCAATTATTATGAAATATAAATATTTTTTCATTATTAGTAGCAAGCGCGTCTGTCGGGCAATGGGTCTCGGGTTCGATTCCCGGGTCAGGGAAATTGTTACTGGGTTTTAAAAAACATGTCAGTAGTAACACGGAGTTTGGAATTGTGCCCGGTGTAGTGCAATGGGCTAACCCCCTATTACAAGCGACTCATAACACAAAATAATAATGAAAAGTGGTTGTTACATTGTATAGTGGCATTAAGCGCCGGAGAGATGCACACCTCTACCTAACTTGTCGGGGTTAAAATGCGTGATGATCGTCATAATTCAGTAGATAGCAAAATATAACTAAAGAAATTTTTATAGATAGGTGTACATATATATTACCTATGTCATCATTAACAAATAATTATGAAATATCAAACGATATAGCGTTTATTATCTGCAATTACTTTAATAAAATAAACACGATATTGTCGACTGAAATTACGTACCTATAAATATTTTTGACCTATAATAATTTAGTTACTGGAGCTTTAAAATAGGTCGCGGTAATGTCGCATCTGATACGATGAAATTATGAACAACATAATTCGTTTAAAAGTAGATACTATTTCAGTAAAATTATGTCGCTATTATACTTAATGTGGATAACTTTGCTTTTTTATTTACCAAATGTGCAGGCAAAGGTGCAAAGGCATACACCTATTAACATAGCTAAATTCACTCTGAAACATTCAAATTCTAACGGTTTAATGTTTAATAATTTCATCTAAACAGGGAATAAAAATTAAATTTCATTTCTATAACGCTAAGTTTTAATTGACTAAGAACCCCTCTGTGATTCGAAACTAGTAGAGGTTTTCTCAGTATATTCACGTGTGTAACCCGCAATTTTTACTTAATTTAGTATGTCTCACGATAGTTATTATTAAATGTTATAATAACTAATCTTCTCATTTGTATAGTTTGTAATTATTATATCTAAGAAGTTATTGTTTTACCAAAACAAAGGGATTATTCTACAATCATGCTTTGAAGATAATATATTGTGGTATTGGATTCTAGATTTAGTCAACTGTGCTCTAATTCGTACCCAAAGAAGATTATCGGTTAGTTTACATGAATAAAAAATGTACAACAATTATTTCTCTTACCATATCATCCTTTTTGCTATCCTTCTTTTGAGCATTATTCTTCTTGCATACGAAGAGTATGACTACAGCAACAATCACTACGAGAGCTCCTATCGCCACCAGAGGCACCATCGTCAAAGGCACATCGTTGTTCGTAGGATTCTTATTCGGAGCTTCAGTACTGGTCGTTCCATCATCGTTCTGAACTATATTCATACCCCCAGGAACATCGTCAGGAGGATTTGGAGGACTTAGAGTAGCCAGTGACGTTGTCACTTCAGGTACTGTTACATAAATATGAGTTGCTTTGGTAGTACTTTGTGTTGTCCTCGTAAACTTTGGTTGTATAGGTAAGCTGGGGTAGGCAGGGAAGTTCAAGTTCAGTGGATGAGGTAACTTCGGCCTCTTGCCGGATTTGTCGGAGACTGTTGCGTAGACTTCTAATTTCTGTGGTATGGAGCCGTCGTTCGCTGTTACCCATAGTGAGTAGGTTTTGTTCTCCTGGAATTCAGAAATAATTGGGTCAGAAATAGTTACACAAATATTTTGTAAACAAATCTCAGGACAAATGAAGTAAATTATAAATGATTATTTTTACTACAATGGAATCAATAGTATTCAAACTCTGTATTGCACACAAAATAAAAAATAATAATGGTTTCGAAAAACAAATTAATCTCCAGCGATGTGTGGCCGACTATAAAAATGGATCTTCGAATAACAAAACTAAACTTCCAAATACAATATTGAACCTCCGACAGGATTACTAAGTTACCAATAACAGACGTATTAGGTTAGGTTAGTATTGTAGCAATAAACAGTCATGTAAAGTAGTCGGAAAGTTAGTATTTTAGGCAGTAGATTTAATATTTTCAGTAAGGACAATTCTTCTTTTCTTGTCTGAGCTTTTATTACTACCCATGTCAAATTTACTCTTACTTTTTCAGCCTTATTACAAAACAACAATGTGTACAGTACTGTGTCTTTATACCTTTCACGACTATCATAAAACGATTTGGTTCCAGGTATTTAGCAAAACATTGTTCAAATAAAATAATTGTGTAGTATTTATTACTCCTGTAAAAGGTGTAAAGTTTGCCATAGGTCTTTTGGGAAAGCTTCAGATGTAGCATAAAGAAAATATTTCTGACAAAATTTCCAAGTAATCTGGCTCCTTTACGTCGGTAGGGAATTTAATGCTTCACTTCGACGTCAGAAAAATCTTACTCCTGAAAGTATATTTTTGTTTTTAAGCCTTTTAACGTGTTGTTCCCAAAAATAACTTCTGTAAAGTTCAAAATACTTTAACAAGAATTTCAATTTATAAAAAAAAAAACCGAAAGTAGTTTCTATTTTCGTTGAAGACAGACCTGCTTTTATTTTTGTTTTTGATAGATTTTAACAGTGAGTGACATTTAGTTTATTCTTTTTATTTATTTTTTTAATAAACTTAGTACATTGAACTGACTCTGTAGTTTAAGCACTGTTAAAATGAAGTCGCCTAAAGGCTTGAGACTAGCTTCAATAAGTGACAGACGTACAACATTCTTTTAATTAGACACGCCTTGGCAATTAAGCAGAAAATTGATTAGGTTTGAAGGCATTGGGTATTATAAATCACTGGTTAGTTAACTAAAAAAAACCAAGTTTATTTTATAAAAACGGACCGGTTATTATTAAAGGAACTGCAAAACCACCTGGCGGTATTTAAAAATTGATAAATCAAAATGTACTTATAATTTATAGTTGTATGTACATATAAATTAATCATCTATAAGTTAGATGCTCAAAATGATTAATTCGCCTATTGCTTCTGCTAAGATTAATCATAACAGTTCATGATAAAGTCATTCAAAATTGAACCTAAAAATGTAGTACATAGATTGATTAATTACTACGTTGAATTGATTAAGTTTACAATTTTTAATTTAAGAAGGTATTTTTAGGTATTTTCGTTCATTAATCTTGATAATTAGAGACTAATCATATACTCATTTTAATAGAGACTTACTCTTTTGTGAAGCATCGTACGGTTCTAAAGTGTACGCGCATTAATACGAATTTACATGAGTTTTGTTGTAATTATGCAGTACATATTGCGAGCCTCATTAACACCTAATCCAACTCAGGGCGTGGCAAACACATGGTATGTAATTAAGTAAGTTTACATAACAATATAAATTACTAGAACGATAGAGTATTTGTTACATTGATAGTCATTTAAAATCTTTAGCAGTAGTTATGAACAAGATAAACGCCATTGAGATGGGCATCGGTAACCTATTAATGAATAACATTTTAAGATATAACTGACTACTGGCATGTTGTTAACTAAAAATCGCGGGTTAATGACGCGAACGTATTGAGAAAACCTCTACTAGTTTCGAGCCACAGAGGAGCTCTTACTCATAAGCAGCGTGCGCGGTCGCACCGAAGTCGCGTTGAAGCTTGCGTTGGTTTTGTAACCCGAGATTTTAGTTAATTTAGTATGTCTCACGATAGGTTATTATATTGAAATACTGTTTCGCAATAAAAAAAATATATATTTTGTAGCCTAATTTACCAAGAAATAAGTAATTAAATACCTGTAAGTAAATAAATACTATTACTAGAACTTTCTCAATAATCGTACCTAAGCAAAAAACTTCCAAAACAAATATAACAACTGGCAGTAAAATCATTCAATCTTAATGCGAATGTAAATAAAAATTCGCACGCAAATAAAATTACCTTTCAATTTGGTTTCCAATATTTAACGGGTCGTTATTTTAATCACTTAAGTGGCTGTTTCGAAGTTTCTCAGTCTTAAGAACGTTTACGTTGGGTTGGATTTCCATACAAACTTTGAAGTCTAAATTCATTTATACCGATAAATACAATTGCAGCGTGTCTGTTTGTAATATTGAAATAACCACTTTTTACTACACTCATGAATATAATATAATGTACGATACCTATACCAAAATAATTTTTTTGTCTGTCTGTTTATACTGGCTAATCTCCGAAGTGGCTAAACCGATATTGGCAGGTCTTTTACTGGCAGGTAGCTAATATACGAGTAATATACCCTATATTTTTCTTGGAAAATTGAAACAAAAATGTATACCCTAAAACTCATATTAGGTATTCTACGCGGACGAAGTCTGCGGGCAACAGCTAGTTGAAAATAAAACTTCGTACCATACCCAATATTATAAACAATGATTACCTATTAAGCAATTGTAAACTCATAATTTAAGGTTGTGTGGAAACATAGAATAAATAATGTCTGTGGCATCTCTCTAAACTCTTTTTCGAAAATGTTTAACGCGTTAAACGCTATAGCGGACAACATAATATACGCCCCAAGAGGAGAATTTGACCTCAACTATTTTTTGTCAGTAATTGTCAAAGCTACAACTGACTTTTATATTATAGCTTTCATGAGACATACTAAATTAATTATCATGTTTTTCGGCTTACTCACGTAACTATTCGACGAGAAACTCGACTAGTTTCAAGCCATACTTGAGGCTCATAGTCATGAGCAGCATTCTGCGTAGCAGGGCGAATGAAACTAAAGTTCGTCCAATAATTACGTGAGTAAGCCAAGAAACACCATAACTAACTTTTAATAAGAGTTCCAAGTTCCACTTTCCATGGATGGTATTAAGATTCAAATTTAATCTTCCAAGTTCATGAACTTGGACTTGAAATGTTGTATGGAAACTCGCGCCGCGCGAATGCGGTAAAATGTCTGTCTTGGAGGTCAGGTCAATCAATATTTGTGCTGTGGGAAAAATGGCGGTCACTTTTATGTGTTAAATTTTAATTTTATGTTCTTTTATTTTATAGGAGAGAAAATAAAATATTTAACGCCATCTCTAACTAAAGATTTTAATTTGTTTTGGTATTAAATCGAAAATTGGTTTTCAGTTTGATGAGTTGAAAGTTGAAGGTGTAATAAATATATTATAGTAAAATTTTACAATCGTAGAAATTATAGGTACTTCATTTAATATACCTACAATTATTATTTTCTAAAAGTTTAATATAATAAAATAAATGCGTAAAAACTTAAATGTGACAACAAACATTAATTGTAATATAACATCACGACTTTTATCGCCGAAGGGGTAGTCAGAGGTGCACATTACGACACTTAATACCACTGTACAATGTAACACCCACATTTTACTATTTATGTTATGAGTTTCATGTAATAGGGGGTGAGCCTATGGCCATATACCGGGCACAATTCCAGACACCGTGCTACTACTGAGATTTCATATTTTTAAAAAATATTTCCGAATATCGTGCTAAGCTTAAGTGGCTGCCGATCCGCCTTCGCCGGGATACTCATATCTTATCTTTACTCTACAGTACGCTGTTCAATCCTACTACCCCTCATTATCTCAAAGAACGTTTCCAGTTCTTCCATGACACACATTCTAGACCAGTACGGTCATCGGAGGACATGAAGCTTGAAATGCCCCAGCATGCGAGCAGATCATTTGACAGATCTTTTACAGTTCGAGCTGTTCGACTGTGGAATGCTCTGCCACTTTCTATAAGACAAGCAGAGTCACTTGTTGCATTCAAAGCACTCGTGAAAAAGCATTATCTCTCCACGTTGTAATTTACCATTACTATTTCTTTTCTCTCTTTGTTTTTTCTTTACTGTTGTCTATTCATTGTTCATACTATATTTTATTTATGTATTTATGCATGTATATATATATTTACATCCCGCTATCGATTGGACGTCCCATGAAGGCGAAAGTGCATTTAATCTGGCGTCCACCTGCTTGTGGCGTCCGCATACCGGACGCCACTTTTTTGGCCTATGCAACTAAGGTCCTTTTGGTCCTGGCTACACGTAGGTTAAAAATCGACAGAGGCCAAAAGATCGGTTCAATGGCTGTTATAGTATTTTGAAAAGTTCTCGAAGAAATCTCAGCGCAGATAGGGCGCTGCTGTAGCGCGTATATCCACAGCTGTATATTTTTGGGATTTTCTGAGTATAAGTCCGCGTATTTGGCGTCCTCAAAAAAATAACAGCGACGTTGCCAGTTCGCTCATTAAATCTGTCTCAATAGATCAGAATATTATCTACCGCATTCAAAACAATATTCACCGTCGTAGATTTCGGATGTGTTGCGTATTATTTGGAGTCCGATTTTATTCAATTAGATTTATTTACATTTTAATACATGTCAGTGCAACTTACGACAACTTATCTGCAATCCTGTTCTCAATATGTCAATGAGTACCTATCACTGATATATAACAGATGAGGGTATAAATTAACTACTTAATGGGATCTTAGAAATAATTACTAAAGTGACAAAATTATATGTCTTACCTCAAAAAAAGGGTAACCAGAGTTTAACTCGTATAGTATAGTTTCCGTATAAATTTTGACGTAATTTTATTAACTTTATCTATTTTTGTGGTTAGAAGGTGCATATAACACTGAATAATTAATGAATGTTGTATAGTATTACTGATAAAATCAATCA